TGCAGATGGACCCTCCGTTGATGCGCACTGCTCCTGGACTGCGGCGTTCCCGGCTACTCCTCCCTTCGGGCTCCAGCCGCGCCGCGTCGCTCCGCAGTTGCGCCATCCAGTCCCGCCTCGATCCGATGTCGTCATCGCTCCTTCGGTCCGCCAGACGCCGCCATTGTTCTTCCTCGCCGCCGCTGCTTCTCTTACTGCCATCGTCGCCGTCAACCCTCCTGGCACGGAACCAGGAGGAGGGTGCCCCCCGCCTCTAAGGCAGGTACCCATTTCTCTACTTGCAATTACTTTCGAGCCTCTGGGTTGGCGGGAGCTGGGACTCGGGCCGGTAGCTCACTCCGGCCGCGGTGGGGATTCGAACAGCCATTATGGCTGTTCGCTATAGATGTTATCGCAGGTGCTGTTACTCCCTGCGCCACCGCTCCCTGCGCCACCCCTCCCCCTTCCCACAACAGGCACCCTGTGAGGTAGGTGGGGCTGAGAGACCTCTGACAGAAACTGCTGTTTTTCAAGGACAGCTCTGACAGAACTATGGCTTGCCCAAGGTCATCCAGCAGCTGCAAGTGGAGGAGTGGGGAATCAAACCCGGTTCTCCCAGATTGGAGTCTGCGCACTTCACCACGACACCAGACTGGCTCTATTAGCCCTTAAAGAGGAACGCAGGTCTATTCCAAGCGAAGCCATGGTGGACTAGACTAGCCCACTTTGTCAGATGCATGCAATTGGCTCATGCAGGCGTTCACTTTCCCATGATTATCTAATTCTCAGTTAATGACAAAAAGCTTATACCCAGAATTAAACTTTGCTGGTCTCAAAGATGCACTGGACTCAAACTTTCTTCTGCTGTTTCAGACCAACACGGTGACCCCACCTGAATCAATTCAATTCAAATACCTTTTATTAGCATAGAATATTAAAAGCATTTCCCAATAATACAATCCAAGAGAAATTATAAAATAGATAGTCGTGGGTATGTCAGGCCTAACTCAAGTTGTCACAAGTTAGATTTGACCATACAAAAGATGCCTGAATCATAAAATAAACTGGCATTCCAAACTTTTAAACTTAAGTTTTTAAACTTATAAATTAAGAATCATTAATATGATCAGGGTTACTCTTCCGTTTTATAAAACAATGGAGAAACTTAGCGGTCAGTTCAATGATCTCCAGATCTCGTGAAGCAAGGAGAAATTGTACCTTGATTCTATCTGATTGGCCTGCTACCATCCTAAGGGGGGCTTCTATACACTCCACTCGAATGTCATTTAACAATTTACAGTGTAAGAGTACGTGCTCAACAGTTTCTATTTCACTTCTGTTACAACCACAGAACCTGATTGAATAAGGAATTTGCTTATATCTCCCCTCAAGAATAGCAGAGGGGAGAACATTAAGACGGGCCAACAGATAAGCTCTACACATTTGCGGTGAAGTCAGACAGAAAAAGTAATATGGTAGAGTACCAGAAAGGGGATAAGCCCACCTTACTGAGGAGCACCTTCCGGAGGCAAGGGCTCTGAGCTCTTGCAACTCTATATCAATAAGTCTCTGTTTAAGCAAAGTAAAGACCTCAAGCTCTGACCGGATGACAAGGTCACTCAGGTTAAAACCAATAGAAGTGATTTTCTTTTCAATAGCCATAAGCCACGCAGAGGATTGAGATTCTTCCAGCATATAGGTGATAAGGCTATTGTGGTTACATCTAAAATGCAGACGTAGCCAAAATCTGAAAGTAATAATCCAGGCCTTGGTCTCTAACCGTCTCAAATTAAGCTCCAGACAAATGGCAGCATAAGATACGCACGAAGGCAACCCCAGAATCTTCCTCAGGAATTTGGATTGTAGTTGTTCAACTGCTTTATTAAAAGCAGTAATCCAGATAGGAATACCATATAGTAGCTTCGCGCTAATTTGATGTGCAAACACTTTTATAGCTGCTGGCACATACTGATTACCCTTAGTGTAATAAAACCGCAAAATTGCGAGCACACAGCAGTTCGCAGTTTTAATTGCCTCTGTTCTGTGTGTTACCCACCTGGAGTTATGATGAAAGGTGACCCCCAGATATTTAAAGCTTTTAACCTGCTCAATTATTTTACCCCTTATGCTCCAGTTCATAGGTTTCCAGAATCCCCCAAAGGCCATAACTTTAGATTTTTCAAAATTCACTGAAAGTCCATTATGGTCACAATAATCCAGGAAACACTCCAACAATTTTTTCATCCCTACTTCAGAGCGGGAGAGAATGACGGCATCATCAGCGTATAGAAGCAGGGGAATTGGTCGTCCACTTAAACATGGGCAGTGACTATAGCCCTCAGACTTTTCCAAACAAGCAGCCAGATCATTAAGGAACAAATTAAAGAGAAGCGGGGCTAAAATACATCCCTGTTTGACCCCAATATTAGTAATGATTTTTGGGGTTAGAGTACCCTTACTAGAGCCTCTAATTTGACAGGTTGT